TATATATATAAAAATCTTTTTTTAAAAAAAAAATACGGGCACTGAAATCCTACAGTAAAACTCAGTGAACCAGTCTTGTAAAAGATAGATAAACAATTGTGTTGTAATTTTTTGTTGCCTTGCCACTTTGAGTATCTCATCTGAAAATTTATTCCTTGCCATGTTTTTCTCCTGTAACATAAACTATGTGCCCTGTGAATTTCCGGGGACTGAATTTGAAATTGCTCCTGCCAACCTGTTTGTGGCCTGGCGTGTATCTGAATGCCTGAATATCTCCCTGCTGAATGAATTTCGTGTTCTGGCCTGAATTCACTCGGGTTTATTGATTGGCTGGACGATCTTGGTGCCGTTCCAGAAGAGTCATCGAAGGAAAAGATCCAGGAGTGTAGAGGATGATGAGGAGGGTCACCTGATCTGTCAGAGTGGAGACGTACTAAGTGCAAGATGTATAGAATATTTTTCAAAATTTATTAACTTTTCAGATAGATTAAGTTCTTTTAGCATAAGATGTGAGGGGGCTTTGCCAGTCTTTTCTTTCTGTCTTGACTTTTTTTGTTTGGGGGTGGGGATTGTTATTCTTTTTCTATAGAATTTAAATACTTTTCTGTTTTCTTTTTCCCTTTTTTTTCCCCCCAAAAATAGTAAATGAAGTTAATGAATACTAGAATGAGATCCCTGTAAACGTGCCTTGATGAGAGTTGTTTGTACGATAACATCTCTCAAACTAGATATTTACACTTTAAAGAGGCACAGTCTAGAGTAATTCAGTGATAGTACTTAAGTCTTTTTGTTTGTTGTAGTTTTGTTTGTTGTTTTTTTTTCAATAGCTGAGTAACTTTGCAACTTCTGTGACTGAGAGTTCTTTTCTTTATAGATGAGATTGTTGGTACTTTGGGTGAAGGTGCTTTTGGAAAAGTAGTGGAATGCATCGATCACAAAGCGTAAGTCTCTATTGAAATTTTTCTTACTATCACAGTGTGGTCCATGAAGTGCTTTCTGACTGTATCAGGTGTTATCTTCACTTCCTCATGTGCTGCTCTGTTCCCAAACATACAAATTTACATGTCAGTAGAGCACGCTGAAAACCAGCACCTAGATGTTGGGGTTGTGCAGGACGGGTGGGTGAGGCAATGGCGTGTCTTCTGCAGGCGCAACCCCTGCCTGCTGGGGGGTCAAGGGCTTATGGGGGAGGGTGGCCTAGAGAATGTGCAGTGAAGCTGCACGCACACCACACCCCCCCCCCGGAGCAGTCCTGGGGCCTCTGCCACCCCAGCTCATCATACATGAGCAAGGTCTGTGACATCATGTAGCTTAAAGCATCATCTGCAATGCCGCAATGCTGCTTGGGTTCCACAGTGAGTACATTACAGACCAAGAGTGCAGTTTGTGTTTGGTGACGGTTTTGCCATGTGCAAAATCGGGTGAAGCTCGATTGTAGTCGCTGCAGAAGGCACTGAACACCTCCGTTCCTTACATTTCTTACTGCCTAAGGGAGCAAAGGTGGCTTGTCATTCCGGACTGACGGTTGTGTTAGGCTCTGAGGTGTGGAAGTTTCTCCAGTACTAGCCCAGCATACGTAAACACAAAGGGGAAGTAAACAGAGCTTTTAGCCTTTAAGATTAATACCAATATATAAGGTGTCGAGTTCATGTTTTCAACATTTAAAGATGAAATTTTAATTGCCTTGGTGCGTAGATGAACCTTGGTTAAGTCAGTATGTACTTAAAGACCTTTTCTGATAAGGTTCCCATTGGTATAAACAACGTATGTGGTGATAATTACCAAATAGTTGGTTAACATTACTCACTGTTCTAATCACTGCTAAAAACCTCTCTTTTCAGGGAAGACAGACATGTAGCTGTGAAAATAGTAAAAAACGTTGCTAGGTACTCGGAAGCAGCTCATGCAGAAATAGAAGTACTGGAACATTTAAATGCATCGGATCCCAGCAGTACATAGTAAGCACACAAAACCGACTGTACTTTATTTTGGCTTTGAGATTCCTGTGACTTCACTTCCTGTAACCTGTGACATATGTACCTGAGCATGTACGACTTCCCATTGCAATTAATTTATTGTCCTGCTTTTGCAGTCGCTGTGTCCAGATGTTGGAGTGGTTTGAGTACTATGGACATGTCTGCATTGTTTTTGAGCTCCTGGGGCTCAGCACCTATGACTTCATTAAAGAGAATGGCTTTCTGCCATTTAGGCTGGACCACATTAGGCAGATGGCATATCAGATCTGCACGTCTGTCAACTGTGAGTATGCTGCTTTTTTGCGTTCTTTGTTCAGCTTTATTCACAGAATTTACTAATTACATTTATTATCTTGCAGTTTTGCATTTGAACAAGTTGACACACACAGATCTGAAGCCAGAGAATATTTTATTTGTGACATCTGACTATGTAGAAGAGTATAACCCCAAACTGGTAAGTTGCTGCCCTCTTCCCCAGCTCCCCTTCAGCTAGTGCCTGGGTTTATCTGGGCACTTGCATCCCATTGTGTTTCATTTCAGAAATGCGAGGAACGCACGCTGAAAAATCCAGATATCAAAGTTGTGGACTTTGGGAGTGCAACATATGATGATGAGTATCATAGCACTTTGGTGTCTACAAGACATTACAGAGCTCCTGAAGTTATCCTAGGTCAGTAGACATCTGATAGGCTGCTATTGAAAGTGCTACAGAAGCGTTGTGTGTCTTGCTTGAGCTGTGGAGCTGTTTGCAGTCTGATGTAAACACGAACCTTCTGAATCTTTTCACAGCACTGGGATGGTCACAACCATGTGATGTTTGGAGCATTGGATGTATTCTCATAGAGTATTACCTTGGATTCGCACTATTTCCGGTTGGTAACTAGGAATCTCAAAATTATATCCAGCATGTGTAATGCTCCCCAACTTGCTGAAAATATGCTTCAGAGAGATGGGGACTACAGAGAGTGGTCTGTGCAAGAAATTAAACTGTTCTCTGCGATGCCGAGTTGAAAAGAACAGATGTAGGCACCAAGCAACTTTCTCAGCAGATTTCTACAAGTCGCTTTCAGTTGCTTTGGCAGCAGCTCGAGATGAAGGATCACCCTGTTAACATTTGTAATTTACCAGCCACGCTAATAATAGATGTAGCTTCATCTGTCACCACCAGCAAGTACTACTCAAATAACTTCTGTTGTCTTGACCATATTGCTGAAACTTGAAATTCATAAACAAAGAAAAAAAAAATAGGGCAGGGTCAAGGGAAAAAACCTCCAGTAGATAGTAACTTCATTCAGGAAACAGCTGACTACAACCTCTCTTTTTTTTTCCTTACTCTGAAATTGATTATTGGTTGCACGGTTGAGTAGAAAAAGTGTGTGGTTCTTGGTAACTTCCTCTAACAGTGAACAAAAATACCTGTCTTGATTTCCCTGCAGACCCATGACAGCAAAGAACACCTGGCAATGATGGAGCAAATACTAGGGCCTTTGCCAAGTCACATGATAAAGAAAACCAGGTAATTGCATTTTTCTGTACTGCTATAGTTTAAGTATTTTTAGATTGGTTTAACAACAAATTTAAAAACGTAATAAACTCAGATTCATCCTTTTGCTCTATGTAACAAGCTGGCCACTCTTGTGCAATATTCCCAGATCAGTTCTCAAGCTGTGAGCAAACATGCTGATACAGTTCTAGTGAAGGGACAAGCCAGAATCTTTGAATAACAAACTCTGATCTGTTTGTTTAAGGAAACGGAACTATTTCCATCACAACCGGCTGAACTGGGACAAACACTGTTCTGCTGGCAGATACGTCTCAAGGCGCTGTAAGCCACTGAAGGTGAGACAACAGAAGGGGAAAAAAGCTTCTGGGGGGAGGAGCTCCAAGTGACATTACAAGGCTGCAAAAACATGTTTTGTTGTTTCCTTCATGAAGGAATTCATGACCTGCCACGATTCTGACCATGAGAGCCTCTTTGACCTCATCGAAAAGATGCTGGAGTATGATCCAGCCAAGCGCATTACTCTTGAAGAAGCATTGAAACATCCTTTCTTCTTCCCATTGAAACGGGAAAAAAGGGCACGGTCTCCTGGAGCTGAGCAAGCTGACACAGATGTCAGTTCACCAAAGAAATACAAAAGATATTAAATATTTATTGTGTACAGTTACTTTGTAAATGCCCTATTTTGTATTATGACTTTTTGGATACTGATGTTTAAAATCTAGCTGCTGGCATAAAACTTTGAAGAAAAAGCTACTGATGAGCCTGGTTGTGTTTTCTGGGTAAATAAAAATTTATCTCAGGACAGTTGAACTTACAACATGCAGAAGAGAGCACCCTCTACTCTACAAATAGAGCTTTTAACAGCAAGAAAGTAGCATTTTAATTATCTTTTACTCAACTATCCTTGGAATAGCAAAAGACCTAGGACTGAGTTTTACCTTTTAGTGTGACTGATGCTTCTTTTCTGGGTAAGAGAAGAGAGACAGCCCTTGAGATTAAGTGTAAGGATGGCCTTTATTGGTTTAAAAAAAAGTTACAAAGGAAGGGATATCACTCTAGTAGTGAACAGATTGCATTGTGATCACCTATTTTTTCTTTTTTTAATTTTAGTAGGTGTACTCTGGTTACCAGCATTTCAGTTAATGCTCATGATTAGCTTACAACAGTATAGACTTCACTCTTCTACTAGATCTTTCTTCAATTATGAGCTGTCCTGAGAATTTTCCATTAAGAATTCAAAGTTTTGGGGAGCAGATAAGCTGTTTGGTTTAACATGTGAACTACCAGCATAAAGTAATCTCTCAAACTTCAGGAGGCAGGGTGGAGTTTCGTACGCCTTGCCTTCCAGCAGTTGTGCTTTCACAGAGCACCACAAGCAAGCTGCCAATCCGCCCCAGCTCTCCCAGACCAGGGCTCTAGAAAGCTGTTGGGCAGCTTTATGTGGAACCATTTTCTCTTCTATGGCAAGACTCCCCCAGAACTGATGCCCAGCTGCACGGCAGCCTGAGGCTGCGCTGCCCCTCAGGAACTCAGGCCACCAGCCTTGGAGGTGGCAGCAGACTTGGAGACACTGCTCTTCATACCCCACCACAGTTCACTGTTCAGCAGAACAGTTTCTCCAGTAGGACGCTGAGCTCCCAGGAGCAGGGCAGCCACCTCACCCAGCAGCTGGAATAGAGGACTGCCTTATGCTGGAAGTACAGTAAAGAGATGACAGAGTCCTTGGGGAGATGGACAACCGCCTACAAACGCAGTTATCTGGGGCAAGTGGTACGGATTGACATGTCACACCAAGTTACCACACAAGCCACGGCCTCTTCACTTCGGAGGCTTTTTTACAGTTTAATTTGCAAACAGAACCGCCATAAATCTCATTCACCATATCATGTCTACTCAAATAGAGATCGAAAACCCAAGGGGTAAAATGGATTTCATTGTGGAAGGAAGGCCTTAAATTACATTATTACAGTAGAAAATACAGGAGGTAGAATATAACTGAAAGGACAAATGCAGGTTAGAGTCAAATCTATAACAGCTCCTGTAAGCTACTTAAAACATGATTTTAAAAACTAAACCCAGTATTTCAGTAACTATAGAAAACAGTTAAAATAAATTGCCATGAGAGCCCTTATATCATGCTTGATACAGGGAGGTAGGATGTAAGAATCAGAAGGACACATGAGACATGACACTTATCTACAGCTCCTGTTTGCTTTACTGAGGACAGAGTTTCACAGGTCAGTCACCCTCTTCGGCTTCAGATTCCGACTCTGGAACAGAGAGACCTGGTCAGCAGGCTGCCAGCAGGTCAGCCTCCCCGCAGCCCCTGAGTTCTGAGTTCAGCCGCTGCCCTGCAGCCCGTGTAACAGCTGCTATTGGATCCACATGGATTTCACTGGCAAGCTTTTCTAGCCAGTACTGGCGGGTACGCCTAGTCTCAGAGGGGCAATTAACACCCCCTCCCCACCCCCAAAACAAACCACTATTGCACTAAGGCTCCCAAAACGAACAAGCTCAACTTTTGAGCTAAGCTACTGGTTACCTTCTTCAGCGTTCTTGAGCCATTCAACAAACTTCTTCATTTGCTCCAGAAAAACGCTCTTTCCTTTTGCAAGATGCGCGTCCTTATACCACTTCAGGATGGGTTCTTCACTCAGAACTTCAGCTGTAAGGTGTGCAAGAGCAGTATTAACACAGCAAACCACTGAATACCAGCTACTGAGAACCCCTGACTTGGCAGCCTTTGCTCCCCCCCTCAAAGCATCACAATATATACTGCTTCCCTGGATATGGCTGGACATACCTGCACCTCCTATTTTAAAATTCTGAGAACCACGCATTTCAGATAGGCTTTCACTCCCACTAACAGTCTTGAGTGTTTCATAGCTATTTGAGATGACACAGTCTAAGAAAGCTTCAGTCAACTGCTAAGAACAGATGCAAATTCTTCAAAGCCCAAAGTACACCACAGGGAAGTGTTTTAATTGTTTGGTTTTGTTTTTTAAATTTTGCAAGTACAATATAATAAGTTTCCTGTGGTGTTTCTGCAGGTGCACAGCGTGTTTTTCAGTAACACTTTTTAACAGGCATTTAACAGAGAGCCTACATCACCCCAGCACATCTTGGTGGTCTCAATCTCTGACTGTTCACAGTTAGCATTCAGACAGAGAACTAAGAAGAATACACTATCACGTATCTTTTCCTAAATTAAAAGGGCCAAAGAGCCTTAACATCTAAATTTAGCTTTTATCGACCACAACTCTTAAATCTAGTAGACAGGCGGCATCCTTGTCTAGAGGAGTACTCCCCCATGGGCCAAGGACAGCCACATCCACCTTTGCATTTTACTGCTCTGTCTTTGCAAAAAGAAGGTAGAAAATTCTTCAGCTCAGGAAGTAATGTTGTAGCACTGATCGTCCCTAAAATTCTTACCAGGACTGAAGCATTCTGCAAACACACACTCTTAAAAAAAAAAACCAAACAAAAAACAAACCCCAATCGAAAAACCCCAAACCCCTGACAACCCCACAGAAGTCACCTTTATAGAAGAGCACCACTATTTTCTGGAAGGCCTTCATGAAGTGAATGTTGTCATAACAATACTCCTGAATCTTCAACAGAAGAGTCAGCTCTGACTGACCTTGGGTCGTAAAGGCAGCAAGTAGAGGGCTGTATTGCTGTAACGGGAGTGACAAATTGGCACAGGGCACATTTATCACCTGACTAGACTGGTTTCACGCAGTTTCCATGAGCCACTGGCTTAGAACTTTGCAGCCCCCACCCCAAAGCGCTTCCACAGAAGTCATACTGCTTTTGCCTTGTAATACCGCAGTTACAAGGGGAAGAATTCCCTGTCTGATGCTGTCTCTGCATTAGGGCGTTTGTAGGTTTTAACTCATTTAAGAGGGAGCTGGAGACAGAGGGAAGCCCAAGCCCTATTCAACAGGTGCAAAAGCCTACACTTCAGTTACAATACCTTCAAGTGCTTAATGGCTTGCTCTGCTACCAGCTCCTCCTTTTTGTTCCATTCCACCGTGCTCATTACACTTGACCAGATTATGGCTACCACAGTCTGTTCCGAGATGTTGTTTTTCTTCATCTCCTCCTTCACGTACAAGATTATCTGCCAGTCAGAATAAAAGAGTCAGCGCATAGGCCACATATGACACTAAGCTGAATTAAAACTTTTGTTCTAAAGGCAACCTAGAAGCCTTCAGAACCACAAACACCACCCTTGATCATACAGCAGGATTCAGGATATTAAGGAGAGACTACAAAGCTAATACCAGAACACCCTGGTCCCAATTTTAATTCTTAGTGAGAGCTAAGTGTTTAAGTTCAGTATTTAATTAGGTATATATATTCAGATTAGTATCAGATGCTACTGTATTTCAGACAATTTGAACTAAGTTCCTACAGAAAAAAGAAAGAAAAAACCCCACCCACCTACATCTGGTCTACAGACAAATACTTACGTCCTTGAACGGATCTCCCCGTGACATCTGCTCCTGAAGTTCTTTCTGCAGCTCTTTCCGAGCTCCTATGGTTTGCTGGTTCCGAACATACTCAGAAAGTTCTTTCAGTCCTGCTTCAGTGAAGTACTTGGAGAAGTGTTCAACACTTTGTTTGTTGGCTGGGAAGAGTTCCTGAAAACAAAGTTTACAACAACTCTTTCACAAAAGAAATGTGTGTTCAGTACTTCACTGGTAAATAGTATTTACTAAACTAGCTGGAGTAGTAAATCAGTAATTTCAGTGCTACTCACCATCAGCCTGTTATCCATGTTTACTTTACGAAGACTGACAGCCACTGCATTAATATCTTTCTCATTTATCCATGATTTGAACAGCTTGACTGCAAAAGCTGCAGAAACACCTGTGCAACAGGAATAGTAGTATCATTATTGAAACTCAAATCAAAGGGAGTCATAGGGCCTGGCAGTACAGGGCACTGAGTTTGCCAGACCCCTACTCAAAGCAGCAGCAGCAGCGCTCAGAGGCAGCCCTCGTTCAGTCTGCAGTACCTCCGCCTCTGGTATGCTGGACTTTTCTCACCACTCAGCATCATGAAGGCTTCCCTGTACTAAACTTACTCTCCTCGCTGCAGTTTAGGAAGGAACCTAAAGACACGACCCACCTTCTGCATCCTGAAACGTCCCTCTCCAAAATACAGCACTGCCTTGCTGCACAACACTAGCGACAGCAGCCCCCCGTGTCACGCAGAGCAGTCCTACACACAACCTTTCTGAAAAGACTAGTTTTCTGCAGTCTTAGCAAGACCTTCTAGGTTGCGAGGCAGCATGTTTACCTTTGCTAATCCTGTAGTAAATCTATCACCAGATGAACTAGTGAGCTACAAGGGTGTACTGTCATCACAATTTCCACCTACTTCTCACGGTTCTGTACTCCACCATCCTTCCCTAAAGGGAGGAGTTGGGCAACGCTTACCTTCTTTAACCAAGTTCTCATTATAAAGACTGTTGAGAATTGATGCATTAAGTGTCCCATTGGCTAGCAGAATACCCGTCAGCATGGCCAGCTTGTTCCGCTCAGACTCCGAGAACCCCTTCAGGAACAGCAGCAACTGCAAGAGGAAGTAAGAAGTGTTGCCATAAAACTACTATCTCTCACTAAAGTTTGGCTACTGCCTCCACGTTAGATGCTTTTGTTCCAATCAAGCTGTTCAACTAGTGGAAGCATTACTTCATTGGTAGTCTTCTCCACCAGTCATACAAGCTGGCTGTTCTTCTATTAACAACTCGACTGTTCTATTTTAATAATCCATGCTATGATATAACTCTTCTGCATAGAGTGATCAGCTACCAGAATTTGAAGGTTTATTTGTCTGCTGATAAGGACCTACTTCATACCTTTTTGACTTCATCTTCAAAGCCTTTCTCCAGGTACTTGTAACGCCTGATCAGCTTGTTAAAAACCTAAAAAGATACAGAGTTTATTATTTTTTGCTCTGATTAAAAATCAAGTTCAGTAAAGTTGGTCTGAACTCTTCACGGCACTTTTAGCTTACAACAGTGTAACCCTGCCTCTTCCAGGAAGCTTCTTACCTAAACTTTCAACCACACAAAACATTTAATTTTTGACCACTAAACAGTTTCAAGTTAAATTGTACTCATTTCAGAACTAACCTGAGCAAATGCTTGCATGGTTTCTAGGTCTTCTTGTGCTGCAAATACACAGACGTTTGTGCGTGTCATGTCATCTGCCAGGGTACCACCTGGGGCTAAAGAAGGGTTTCAGCATTAGTGGTGTTACTCCCCCGTGAGACTACTGAGCAGTCTCCACAGCAAGAATTCCAATACCAATAACGTGCAACACGTTGTACTTTCACATTGAACTGAATCACTGGATCACTGAAGGAAACCCCTACATTTCCATCTGCTCCACTGCATAGTGGAACTTTAAAATCAGTAGCTTAGATATGACCCTCTACTGGATTGGCAACACATCTTGTTTACGTATGGGTAAGTTAACATGACCATATGAGCTCCTCTTCCCTCAAACGAAGCCACTAAGCTGCTTAATCCTAGCAAGTGTCTTTTGAGTGTTTGCCGCAGTCGTGCTGCTTTGTAAGTGTCTTTTAAGTAACAGAGTAAGTCGCAACAGATGAAACACAGAGATGCATGTTCAAAACTCAGTGTTGCAGAAGCGTGCTTGAAACTTGAGTCTTGAAAAGCACTTCAGCTTTTCAGCTGCTAATTAGAAGATGCTTCTTCACTGTTCCTCTTCAGGTCAATACAGGCGTTTGACTGGTAGCCAGGCTGCTTCACTAACTAGGGTGAATTCTAGTCACCAACTCTGGTGCCAAAATACCTCATCACCAATTTCTATGCCATCCCACATATGTTATGTGTTAGTCAGAAACATGACTTAAAGATGGAGACAAGCATTAGTGTTAAGAACATTAAAAGGTGCTAAAGCAACAGGATGTCAGTTTCTACTTTGGCCTTGCCTGACTAAAGATCAAAGCTAGTCTACTTTGCTACTCATTACAGAGAGGCAGTTGAGTAAAGGACCACTACATTACCACTAACGCAGCAACCCATTTTTCCCTTTTCCCCTCAGTCTCATTCCTAGAAGGAACACTTCCTAACACAGTATGCACTGGTTAAGACTCTTGAACATAAACCCACAGACTATAACAATTTGTACATTAACAATTTCAAGTAGCAATGCTCCATGTGGCAGACAAGTTTACTTAGTCATGCTACCAACTCTTGTAACATCAGCAAGACAGCCTCTTGCCAAAAGAACCATCACAGTAACTTCAGTCCACATTAACACTGTTCTAACACACAGCCTCAGATAAGCAGGCACACTTAACGAAGTTAAACCATGTTGAAAGCCTTGCTTTTCAGGATTTGTTTGAGCAAGTCACCCAACACTCCTACAGTTATCAGTGTGAAGACTACCTGAACATGCAACAGATGCATCCTCGCAAACCAGCCACTCCACTGCAAAACTCCCATCCACAGTCTGACTGTAGCCCAGAATCAGGTACTTCCTCTCCTCCCCCTATGCATTTAGGTCATTTGAATTCTGTTTCTGTTACATTACAGAAAATATTCTGCAACTGCCAAATTTCTCATTTAAGTCCTCCCCCTCACAATTGCATAAAAAAAAAATGCTAAAATCCAAGAAAACCCTTTTCCGGTCTAGACAGACAACATAACGGGTCCTCTTCACAACCTGTATTTTAAATGGGTCCCTGCCATCTGAACTCCTCACTAAACAGTATCTAGTCAAGTAGGAAATGTAAAGTCTAAATCTAGAAGTATTTAAAAAAAAAAAACCTTATTTTTCAACCTGATTTATCTTCATCTACTTCTTAGTCAGTGAGCACCTGTTCTGCTCTTAGCTCTTTACACACAGCATGCACATGAGTTTACAAGATCTTTTGTCATCGCGTTGTACTTCCTCAGTTCCCTGCGTTTTCTGCTGACTTGACCACCCTCTCATTTCTCACTCCCTGAAATCTGCTAGAGCCCATGACCTCACTATTGTCAACAACAAACCATTCCTAATAGCATTTCCAAGACTAAGCACATCAGACTCTCCTGTAAACAATATTGCTTTCCAAAAATAACAGGGCAGGGTGCACAAAGCACAGGATTGTGTCAGAACATTTCACAGCAACTCCATTGGCCTTGTGACCACAGACCACACACTTGAAACAAGCATTCATCCATCTCATATCAGCAGAAGGGAACCTGACTACAGAGTCAAGATCCACTCCTGGTAAAAAAAAAATAAATAAAATCCAATATATTTTCCTTTAAGTCAAGTTTGTAGAGTCCATGCTTTGAAGAACGCAAACCGACTCAAACAGAAGTGCAGTAGGGTATAGAGAGTATTTCTACAGCAACCTGACTGCTCAGTTAGTCACTAAGATAGTCAGTTTACCACAGATAACTTAAACCCTGTTCTACACACTCAATGGGCTCTTTAGCAGTTTTTACACTGAAAAAAAACCGAGCTTTTGTAGAGTCAAGTGAACAAAGGCTGACAGCAGCCCCACCAAAGGGACTTACCCAGCATTCCACCAGCCACCAGGATGTCAAAAAGCGTTTCTGCATAGCGGCGATAGTCAAGTTTTGCACCAGAAGCATCAAGAAACTTTGCTACTGCCTCCAAGTCAGTGCCAGTTTCGGTTAAACCTTGAATAATACAGTCCTGGAACTGAGTAGGGTCAAACCTCTCTTTTTCATCTGTAAAGAAAAAGCATTGAAATGAAGTTGCCACACACAGCTGTTTGCTTTTCCAAGTTTGTCATTTTAATCCTACTGGAGAAAAAACAACCCAAACCAAAACTTGCACTGGCAAGCATGAAGTTAAACACAACGGAGATCATTCCAGTCTTCCAAGGCAAGTGGTATAAACTAGCACAAATGGTGACTTAACAGGGCAGCCTAAAATTAATTTCAATGGCCAATACAGCAGTAAGAAATTTTACTGCTTTCACTCCCCTGTTCAGTCAAAGCTGGGGGAAAGGCTATCAAAAGCTAAAACATTCCTTAGTTACCTCTAATCGAATTCTTACAGTACTTCCAGTAAGAAAAACAGTTAAATTTGTGATGATGACTAGTTGGCTCTAATAAAGCTTATCTGACTTCTCAGTTTGATCCTTATGCCCCTGCTGACATGTTAGATCACTCTCTCCCTCCAAAAAGAAAGGCTGAGCTACATGCTGGAAGGCTATTCCTAATAGATACCCCTGCAGTTTTGTACATTTCACTCCATTACTGATGTTCCATTTCAGCGCTCAGGGACTCTCACCATTTCAGACAAAGTATTCTGCCTGAAAGGCTGCATACCATTACCATGTTAGAGCCAACTGACAGTACTTGCTTTTTGGCTATGAAGACCATGCCCTTCTCTTAACACGAGATGAAGCTAAATAAGCCTGAAGCAATTGCTTTTCCTCAAGCACCTGGGGGAAATGTAGACATCTGAGCTAACTTCTTAGTCTTAAATAAACATGAAATGATGGACTATAATTGCAGATCTATTCAGCATCTTTTGTTGTTAAAGCAGAACACGTGCTTCTTCACACTTGAGACACATCAGTTGATCATAGCCTTGTTTTCACTATAGGTTGGACATAGTTAATATGCAACAAATCCACCCATGTAACCAACAGAAAGCCTTTAATGGAAGAGGTCTTCAGCTTCACTCATCTCAATTTGTCCTTAGATTATGCAAACCATGAGAGTAAAAGCTTCCAAAGAAGCAGGACTCAGCTGCAAATCTTGCTTGCGTGTCGTCTATAACAGCTGAGCCCTTTCTGTTAGCACCTCTTAGCAACCCTTTCTGTAAGAGCATACTAGTGTCCTTACATTCAGTGCAAGAATCAACACATTGGTAACAGTTAAGTGGAAGTCTGGAAATACCACATTGGTTATTTTCCAGGACAGATCCATGAAGCTTATTGTTACCGCAGAGTTGCCTGGAAGCCAAACTATAATTAAATGCTTAAAAAGAGACAAAACTCCAGAATGCTAGCATCTAATCTGTCGGACAGACTAAACCCAACTCTCTCACTTTGACGGTTTCTCAAGGCACTTTTACTTTAACGTTAAAAGAGGTTCTGTAAGTCAACCCGTACTTCTGTACAACTTACTTACTATTTCAATATATATCCTCAAGTGTTGTCAGTTTGAGCTGAACACTGCTAGTTTATTAATAAAACAGTAATGAACAGAAACTCTAAGAGATATCCCCACTTCCCCCTTGAGTTTAAGGAAGCACCATCAAAATACTAAATTACTCAGCACACCTCTTCAGTCACCAACTCTTCTTATGGAAGGTAATCGTGCAAATACAGAGATATGCACTTACACATCCCATGCTCTGGGATGTTTTTTGTTTGACGGGGCGATAGCGGGTTGTTTGGTCTTTTTTAATGTATTTTTAATTTAAATCATGTATTCTTATAGCATCAAAGAAGACAATGTAACTTTAATCCAGTGGCTAACGCTGAAATTACAAAAAGTTTGTGCTGGAGTTCCCCTTTAACTCAGGTACTAGATACTTCTGCGTTCAGGCTGAACACACTCAGTACACCTCCAGAATGACCGTCTGTTAAGCCAAGGTTATCACAGTAAGCTCAGCTACAATTCTTACTGCCAAATACCTTTTATTAGTCCAGAGAACATTCTAGCACCCAGAATCAGCCTCGAGACTTTGTGTCGAGCGTGGTCTCATTTAAAAGATTTACGAGAAGAGCAGAAACACATTACTTTGTTTGGAGACAGAAACCGACTTTTGGCTCGGGGCTGTCTACAAAAGGCCGTGCACAGAGCTCACCGACAGCATCGCCTTACCTCTTTTCCTGGTTTTAAAACGCTGGCCTGATAGCGTCGGCTTCTGCGGCTTTTGATTATTCATAAAAGACACCCTGCGAGAAAGCAGAAACACGCCTCAGGGCCCTGACGACGGCGCCTGCCCGCACTGCCAGCCCCCGGGG